GAGGGCAACTTAATGACTAACCTGGAGGCTATTTTTAAGAGTTATAAAAGGGAAAAAGACTTCAAAGAGTGTAATTAGGCACATACGAGGCTTACCACGCACTCATCCTCCTCATTACTATCATTTTTATTTAATTGCATCCGTTTAAAACGGAGAGTATTAAGTAAACGATGCACGCATTATTCAACAGATTGAATGTTTTATTGAATGCAATCAAATAGTCAGTAGCACAAATTTCAAATCAGAACACTTGTGCACCCCATAAATTGCAAATACGAACACTTTATTTGCAAAAAAACCAATCCATTTCTCGAAGAAGCTAAAAAAGTCTGTTTGCACGAACAACTTTGCCTATTTACAAAAACTCCGCATTCCAACGGAGACCTAACATCGCAAAATTGAAATTCGTGTCCGTAAACTAGCGTTAACACACGAACTGAAAGGAAAGGGGGTTAATTTGCCTCGTTTAAGATTATTCTAACGTAGGAAACCATGCAGAAGTTCAACCAATTGGCTTTGAAGTTGAGTCGTTCTTCCATGGATTGAGCTTGGGTCACTATTTTGTCAGAAGCAAAAAGCCTCTTCGTTTAGTTTTCCTGAAACCCTATGTTTTATTTTAAAAAATATTAATATATACCTGATTGAAAATGTATGTAAATGTAACTATATATACCTTTTAATTGATAATTCACTGGAACACTGTAAATTGCGACAAAGTAACGAGAGTAGGCGAATATTATCGCTTCATTACTTGCTTAACATAACGTCCATGCATGATTGTTATTTAGGCCAATATTATCAGTTTAGTGGCACTAAATGTAACATCTACTGATTCCAATTGGTGAAATTCCACGGCATTTGAAATGCAGTAAAGAAATTGCGTTTGGGATTTGTTTGAGTTCCTCACATGAAAAAGCGTCCGCCGTCAACATTGGCGGATGTTTCTGACTTTACTACGATCAAGGCAACAATATTTCTACGGGTTATAGTCATAACGATAAAAATTTTATTTTGTATTAAGGCGAGAAGTAGACTCAGAATTGGCAAACATTCTGAAATCAGCAATTTGTGTATGGGATTAATTATGTGATTATTTGATCGATTCCGGGAACCATTTAAATAGTTTTCGATGAGTGAAAATATTGGGGGTTGCATCACATAGAAATAACGTAATTTGATTTAACTGTTGTTCTACAAATACCTATTTTGCTTTATATTTTTATAAAGATTTAAAGCGCCATTTAACTGACATTTATCAACATTTTCGTCAGTAAATTTACCACCAGAAGGCGCTTGTTTTATTGAAGCTAACCGTCGCAAGAATTATTGATATGGGTTGACCTTAATGTCGTGAGTAGATAAACCAAATGGACAAACACATGAACATATGCATGCATACACAACCTTAATCACACGGAAACTGGCGCCGTTAAGGAATGCAACATCATAGAGCGACTTTAAAATTTTTGTAAAGATGACCTAAGTGAGCAAAAAGGTTAAAAGAAGGCGTTTTGGATTGGTCAGAATGCAGCCCAATTGCTATTTGCTGCATTAAAGTTATGCCACCTTAAGGGTTGGGTATTTGCTATAATTGGATCAACGAAAGAAATTCATGACCAAAATAGGATAACACATTAATTTTCGAAAAATTTAATGACATTAGGTGTAAGGTACTTTTTATCCTGATAATAGGGTAGCAATAAACACAAATATACCACTCTAAGGTGCAACAAATGGCGAGGTTAATAGTAAATTGACTTTATTTTTTTTGGCAAATGTTTGACGCCTATAGGCAGATGAGTATTGGCAACTGATTTAACCCTCTGTTTGCTTTAAAGAAGTGGTTTCAAGTGAGTGTACTTGTAGATTCTGCATGTCTTCGATAAAATTAATTTGCTTCAATAATGAATGTGCAAACAAATTTGTTTACCTATTATTTGTTTAAACTTATACAAGGCCACGACAATTGTCGTACCAAGCAATTGTTTTACTTATAAAATTTGGCGTTCAAATTGAAAATACAGAATGAATTTAAATTGTTTTTTGGGATTTTAAGCTGTTAAGATAAGCAGAACGCAAGCCCTAGTTGAAAAATTAAATATTTTTATTCGCTTATTTCCAGCTAAATGCCAAATTATTAAAATTACTAATAAACAGCCTCGCAGATTAGAAGTGAAGCTATATGTTTAGGAGCAGTAAAAGTACTTGAATTAACTTCAGCTAAGTCACTTTAATGAAAGGTACTAACAATGCCTCCACAGCACTCACTTTCGGCTTACTAGTTTCCTTTACTTAAGTTGTATCAACTAAAACTCAGAACGCATTTTGCGCTTTTGACCTTTCAAAAGGAAGGGCTTAGTTTAAAACATGCATAAGTTTGCTACTTTTCAGCGTTTCAATAAATATATTTTCATAATTTATCGATTAATTCATTGGTTAGTGCACTTAAAAGCCGGAAGTTGCCATCAAATTTGAGAATCATTTTAATCATTTACGCGTAATACGTCCCTTTGCAAGCAAATTTGTTTGATTTCTTAAAATCGATTGTAATTTTAACAGTGCATGATTTAAATTAGAAATATTTTGAAAATTTAAACAAATCCAGAGTCCCCCTATCCACCAAGAATTAATTATACCCTTTAAACATTCAATAATAACTTATATTTATTTATTTCAGTTATGACTTGACTAATTACACCTATTTTTAGTTCTCAGTACGTTAGCACCAATTTTGCTAATCCGTAACTACGCGTCTCCAAATTAAATGAAATTTTCAAAAAAATTAATGATATTTTTTGTAGAGTATCCCATTTCCAAGTACTGTAGCAAATTAAATCTGTGCATTTTGACTGGTTACTGGTTCTGTGATTTGTGCTGTTAAGGGTTATTTCAAATGCCACGGTAATTAAAAGAATCATTGCAGCCTATTTTTTAATGAGTTAAATTAATGCCAGTATTCTTGTTATCTTCTTACCTATTTATCACATTAAAAAACATACTATAATAAAACGGCACCAGTTTTATTTTTGAAAATGTAATAAAATATTTTGAAGTCTAGATGACGAAGCCGACCAGATTTCATTGTCGAAATGTTTTGCGCAAGCTAAACTTTAGCCGTATGACGTCTCTTAAAATAGACGAATTTTCAGCGAGGGTCACGGTTTTATGCATTGAAAGGAATGCAAAACTCGCACGAAATTAAAGTCACACAGCGTTTCAGGGAGCTACGAACAGGAAATGACGTCCAAGTTCTGAATTTCAGTGAGAAATTGAGCAAAGTGCAACTGTGCCTCTGTCTGTAGAAAATACTGCTGTGCTAGAATTAGCATTGAAACTCTTTTTTTAGCTATGAAATATAATGCCAAACAAATACGCAACAAAATCATCACCTTGGATTTGTGGGGTGAATTTCAAGATTTTTCGTTAGTTTTAGCACAACTTTTTTTTGATCTAAGAAAAAATTATGCGAGGTTTAATTAGAGGCCTAAATTTCAGTACACTTTTTTAGAAACCGTATCGAATTTTTGATTGGTTATTAATTTTTGACGCTGATTCGTAGAATTAAACTTTACAAATTCGAAAAAATACAGCACAGCTAACAGTAAGCATGTATATCTCAAGCCACCTCACTAAATTTTACCGAAACTCCAGCCGTTTATGCGACATAAACGGGCAAAGTACTAATTACCTCATCAGATTGTCTACGCAATCGTATTTTGGCAAATTGCTCAGATTTTCTGTTAAATTTTCTGGAAGTAATTATAGGAACATAATGCATTTAATCCCATTTTATTTTGACATAAATAAGGCATTACCAGTCCCTAAATTTGCAAGTTATTTGTTAAGCTAGATCGACTGTATTTGCCACGTTTATGCTTAAATTAAGCAATGTCCAATTCGAAGATAGCTGACTTTGTTTTTTTTTCACTTAACTTTTAAATTCACATGACAAAATCAAGCTACTTTTGAACAAGGAATGATTTTGTTTAGATTGAAAAAATAAAATGTTATAATAATCAGATCACCAAAAAAGATTTTCATGATTGGTGTGATAGAAATATCGAGAAATGCAGCTTAAAATCTCCATTGTACACATGTGTAAAAATCAAGCTTTTGCTTGCCAAACCTTTTATGTGAAACTTCTGTTGTTTTCCATTTGAACATTTAAGTGTAGTAGTAAAGATTATTTTCTTTAACTTATTCTACAATTTTGTCTACAGATTTCATAAAAAATTTTCCAAAGCATAAAAAATTCAAGATTCTGGCCTCAGAAACATTAGCAATCTTCAAAATGTATAACCTTGGAGTAATTGTGTGCTTGTGCAACCATGCTTCCTTTTGTATTATCTGCAGTGTTACATAGAAGGTCACAGTAGCTGTTTAGCAATAAAAGACCTGTCTTCAACTTACAACAAATTTAGAGAGATTTGATTGGTCACTTTTACAAAAAACGATGCAACCATGTAATCGATTTAAACTTGTCATGGCTAGAGACTCAACAAACGTCTAGTTTTACAATCATGTATTTAGCAAGTTGTGTGTTATTGATGCAGGGGTCGCAGTTATAGAAATCCTAGCAAAAGCACGGTTTGCTCCCATCTTTCACGTGTAATTCTTCAAATACGCGCCTGTCAGAATTTTAAAACGCAGATGCATATAAATCCCAGTGTGCAAAGATGAATCATCCGACAGGTGTCTGATTAAATCGAACATCATTTTGAATTGCCCAGTCTTTGAGAACCAATCAGGACATTGCCTTCATATTTTCTGATATTTTCTCAACATTGATCTGTTTGCATAAATATTTTGATTTACCGTGGAATAATTTGCATCCTGAAGTTTGAGATACAAAAAGATCTTTAAGTTAACGCGTACTTGGTACGATATAAAAGAACCATACAATATAACACGTAAAAAGAACTGTTTATGTGCACAAGTGTATCTTTGGGCGCTAAGAAAGCCGAACGATAAGGAAATGATAGAGTGGAAAGACGCATTTTTCACAGCTTCCATTCCTTGAGATCACGATTCAGGTTCCTGTAAAACCTACAAGAAAAAAAACAAATTATTTTATTGCATGGAATGAAAATTATACAAAGAACATGTTGCTGTGAATTGTAGAGCTACTGAAATCAAAAATACGATACGATAACTTCGGCAAGTGTCTACTTTTTCGAAAGTTTAAACGCGGTATCACAAAAAAATTGACATTTGCAGCTGAGAAAAGGGCAAAATAATTCTCAAATGCACGAACTTGAAGCCGTTAGAAAAACATGTCAAACTTAATTCAGTATTTGCGAAATTCAATGGCATTGTTCTTATGCCGTATAGTGAAAACAACCAACTGCGCACTGAAAGCCCTTATTACATTCTTCTTCTCATTGTATTTACAGAAGACGACGACACAGAAACCCGGTACTTCGTGTCACAACACTTATGGGAAACGCTTAAAGCCTCCGCAGAATCGCCACTGTTTCCGAAAGATGAGAGAAGCCCGGATGCTGCATTTATGGATACTTGACATGTACAAATCTCTCTAGCCTGGTCCACACAGAGGCCATTTCACCCATAGTTGCCAATTCTACTGCTGCCTTTTATTTGGTTTGACAACAAACACCAAAAAGCAGTTGGGAGCCAAATTGTTTATTCAAGAAAACCTCTTTTTTAGGTAGTAGTTAAGTTCTTAAGTGAAACGTTTTTGATTATCAACAATATGTGTGACAGATAAAAGCAAACTGCGCTCAACCCTTTGCTTCAGTATCAGAATTTATGACAGAAGGTGAAAATTTCCCAAAAGACGACTGCGTGCTAGATGAAAGCTCTTAGGAACCAGCTAAGTTATCATTCAACGGGTACTTCACTTATCTAGGTACACATTAAGCTGTGTTTTTAGACTGGTTTTTCAACGATCACCGTTATTTACATTTGCTATAGTCATTGCAAATGGAAGCACATTCAATATCAAAATCCTGCCTTTGTAACTAACCAAATTTGTACAACTTACATTCGTATGACACTTTAGGAGGAGCTGTACAATAATGGTTATCCTAAAAAGGAAGCGTAACGTGTTTGTCATTTGCTCGTGTAGTTAAGGACACATTTTTACAAGTTCTGTGTGCAGAATTACAGAATAAAAGCTATAATCTGCACAAGATTTGAAAAAAAATTACTTTTTCCTGTGGCAGAATCTTCTGACTAATGAAAGGCAACTATTAACCAGTTACAAAGTAAAAATCGTAAGACAAAAAGTGTTTGCACACAACAAAGTTTTTTTATTAACGGGTACGTCTACAATCGTAATATTATGAAGGAATTACGCCGGAATGTTTTAGAGACTGGTTAAATTGCAAAATATTAAATAATGAGAACACTGTGCAAATGTTACAATCCAGGAAAAAGTGTTTCAAATTTGTTTAAATATTTAATTTGGTTAGGATTATTTTGAAGAAGTAGACCAGTAAAAAAAGAAATTATTTCAAAATTAAACAAAAATGCAATCGAAGCTTGGAATCTGTCTTTTTCGGTCTCCTCAATTTCTCAATTCAAAAGACGCACGTGACGATATTTTGCAAAAAAGTATACATATTTATGACATTTTTAATAATCTTTATTAGAATCAATGTCATCGAATTCAACTAATCATGCACAGTATTAGACTCAGAAAATATACCCCTGCAATTTGCTTACACTGGCATTAAAATTAATGTTAGTTCGGACGTAACGGTTGTTGGATTTTTGGATAGGACGGAAGTTGTCGGCCATTGCTCCTGCGTTCTTGAATTCTGACATTCGTAATGTGCGCAGGCCTTTCATCTTGTAAGTTAAGAAATGAAACAAAACTTAGTCACATCATTAAATCAAAATCCGCATTTATGTAGTACGCAGATAGTGGGCCTTTGTTGGGGATCCACGATTCCCCAAGATTGGTTTCTGATGCTATTTACATGAATTTATTAACATTTGTTTTGTTACACTTTTTATCAAGTCAAAGTCAACCGTGACTTGAATTAGTTTCACTTTTGATACTTGACCTCTCTGCACGTGGCTGACGTGAATAAAGCTCTCTACACGAGCTCTGGTCTTGTTATTGTATTAGCTTGGGAAGGTCGGTTCTAGCTTCAGCTATGGATCTGGTACCGTTATTTGAGTGTTCGTCTCTTTGTTACGGGCAAACGTAACAGCCTTGACGTCAAAGTCTTGATTTTTTAATGCAGAGAATTAAAAAACTTGCCCCAGTCTTTATGCTCTTTACGCGAGGTAATAGAAGTGCCTGGATGGTGCTTTCTGACACTTGAAGGTCTTGTAGATAGTCATATTCTTGTTGGAGGTGTCGTCCATTGAAAATTAACTGTTTCAACGGGATTGACGCTTACACTAACTTCTATAGCGACTACTATACCATGGATGTTGGGTAATCCTTCAGCTAATTGCGCATCAAAATGGGCAGTCACTGAGAAATGATCTTGCTCCTTGCGAACTAGTTGGCATCAGCGACTTAGAAATGAGGAGAGTTTTAGAGCACGACTTGATCCACTTGAAGTAGTTTACAAGGATGGGTGAATTTAAGTACATTTAAATGCTAGCCTTAAATGCAGCCATCATTTAACCCGGGAATTGTAATTATTTAGCCAGGGATATTTGGCCTGGATCTTTTTCAATTAAAATTCAACATCCTACGGATTGATTCACCCCCCTCTACCTGCATATTATCTTTGATTAGAGCACTAGGGTATCTTGGAACTTCGTGTGTCGTTGCCTGCTACCATAAAATGCTTTTTTTTTCAAAAATTAACATTAACACTAAACCGAATTTTTAGACATTCAATTTATTGACTACATGCGTTGTGTAGGTACATTCACCTGAAAAAATACCCAATCCATATATCTTTACTGACTCTTAATCAACAGCAACCTGACTGATAAATGCCTGATTACATTTGGAAACGATTAATTCAGTTCATACTGGTGACGAGCTTGTTACATGTAACTTGCACGCAGGAATGTGGGTTTGTGTCTGAATTGGCTCTGCTGTCTGCTATCAGTTGACACTCCTCAAACACTGTTTTTTGCAACCCAGACGCACAAAGATTGGTTTGTGACCGTTGTGGTGAAATACGGCAGCCATCGTCATTATTACTCTTATGACCAACAACCCCACGTATCTTGGTGGTTGTTCCAGATGCGTCCTGAAGTAAAATCTGGATATTTTTTTTCCTTTTTTTAAAATTGTACGCTCCTACGTTAGTGACCTTCAGTGGAAACTCCATTTTATTTTTCCACATGCGTTCTAAAATCACAGTCAAGCAGAAAACCTTTTTTTAGTCACAATGGCAAATTTATTTGACGAAATAACGCCTGAAAATTATTTGGGAAAAATTATATTGTGAGAGTAAGATAGTTAGTTAGTTTCAATCAAGCAAATTATTTCGCCGTGGTCAACAAAATTTTCACGAAATGCGTAATGTATCAAAACTTTATCGATTTATCATTAACGGATTAATCAATATCGACTAGGTGTAATATAACAATTGTTATGGAGTTGATTTGTGATATGGGCTTGTTAAATTCCTAAGGGTGTGAATTCTGGTTTAGGATGAAGCTTCGTTTACTATTTAAATATTCTCTTGGAATCCACTTGATGTATTTTATAAAGGTTTGAATAAAATTTTCTAAGTGTAGTCGAGGTTTGTAGCGGCACAAGTACCAACAATTCGGTCAAAGTGGAGGCATTGTATAGACCGCCAGGAGATGTCAAATGTTCTGCTAGTTTCGTCCTTGACCTAAACTTCTATTTACCCTGTCGCTAACGCTGGCGCTCACACCTCAACCTGTCACTTTGACCACGCACCTTTTTATTCAGATGAGTTGTACTCTTGCAAGTCCACTCGATTCCTATTGGTTGACGGCCTCCATCACTGATTTCTCTCCAAAACTAAGCCTAACGCAACAGAGATGAGTGGTCAAGTAAGTGGTCGTGCCTCCATCATCTACGGACTTCCAGGTATTTTTTAATAACTTAGCAATTTAGACCGAACCAAAATCAATCTCCGACCCAGACCTGGTTTGAGATCCAAACCAGGGCCTTCAAAAGTTATGACCTAAGGTTCTTGAACAGGTAGCCCTACAAAACCTCTGATTGACTACTCTGTCTGTGGCTTACGTCATGGATCTCTGATTGGATAAAACAGGCGACCACCACATCACATAGAACTCACCTGTTCTTCAGTCACGGTGACTGGCTCGTTTAGTAGTATCCAAGTTACAGTTTCGTAGCAGGCGGGAAAGCCGAGCGAACCTTGATATGTTATGAATTCCCGTGTGCTCGGGAACAGAGTATTGAGTATGAGTCCGTACAGACGTCTGTGATTGCCTGCCAAATAAACGTTGTCTCGATGTTATAAGCAATTTAGGGCTCATTACAGTGCATGTCATGCGTTTCCAGGAAATATCTTACTCAAAAACATGGGAAATATCAACATATGTCGTGTCAGAGGGGTTGTCAGTAAAAGAGAAGGCAGGGAAAAGCAGTAACATTAATAGTTAATTTATTCACAAGACCTAATTAGGCTTTCTTGTACATTCAAACGTGTCGGTGTTCGTTTAAAGGCGCGCAAATGCACAAGTAGTTGTCCGTAAACGAGATCTCAAGTTAAAGCGCAGTGTAGTGCCAGTGCAGAAAATCTAAACCGCAAACTGTGATAAGACAGTGGTCCTTACCACGCCAGTGTCAAGTTAATTGACTCCTTATCTTTGTGAAGAAAATACTTCACAGTGCTAAATGGCATTTTGTTTAGTGTTTTGTGGATCCTGGGACCATCTCATTACTAAAAACACATTAATCTTGAAGTAGAACCCTCGCCCTCACTTCACAATCAATTAAAAGGGATTTGGCGGGTGATTTTGTTTAAAATAATATCATTTTTTTCAAAAAATCAGCAGTATCTGAGAGATGCCTCTTGGTGGTTAGCCAAACACATTACAGTTTTCCTAGACAATTCACGCACACCTGCAATTATGATTGCCTTCACAATGTATCCAGGTTATTTAGCCATTTTAAACTGTAAGATTCGGTGCAATGTCAGCATAAATTTAGCTTCCAGTGGAATGTTCACTTCGAAAAGCTAAATCACGATAAAATGTAGCTTAGGAGCGTAAACACTGCATTTAATTGCAGATTTTTGTTTCAAACCAACTCGAAAACCAAACCTTCCATTGTTTGCTTTAATTATTTACATGAGTTAAACTTGAACTGAAAAAGCAGTGAATGAACCTTTTGTGCCAGAAAACTTGCCTTTTAACCTGACTTCAGCAACTGAAGATAGAAGAGCGGAGATATCTGGTGTCGAACTTTGGCCTATCTTCACCAAACAAAAAAAAGACATAAATAACTCACACAAGCGCGCATTTTTTGCGAAAACCTCCAAAAAACCAACTCGTCTGGTTTGCTTGCAGGTCAAAGCAAACAGTCGTAACGAATGAACTCACTCGAAGAAACAACGAAATCGCTGCAAGTCCATACGGTTTGTTAACAGCAACAGAGAAATTTTGATAAAGATCCGAATTATACGCATAAAATTGTATCTGAAAATGGGAAGGAAAACAACTGTTAGATCACGTGCAAAGTCAAAACATCATCGATTTTTATAGAAAACCCAAAATTACGCATGAAATTAAACGGGTTGAGCCTGAAAATTGGTGTTTTGAAATGTCTACCGAATAGCTATGTATTTTTCTGGAGTGATCTACGCGTACGTGCAGAATTGTTTACGATGATGCCATGTTATTTGTAGAAATTTACGTGAGTTGCGAGCGTCCACCTTTTTTGGGTTAATTATCTGTCTTTTTCAAGAGCGTAAAACACAGGAGAAATTAATAAGAACACTGAAATGCTTGATTACGTGTTTCGTCGAAGAGTTTAGGCCGTGCTAATATTCATCATCCAAGTTTTGAACTATCCTAGAACTCGCATTTTTCAAACGTAAAAACATCTTTAATGAATTACCACTGTAGGAAATTTGTCAGCATAAGAATTTTTGTACTAACGGCTGAGGTTGCCATCGCCTTAAATCATTAAGTGGAAGAAAGCCCGAGGTTAATAGAAAGCAGATCAGCCTAGATTAAAAATGCAGTTTCCGTTGATTTTTAGAGCACATTTTGAGGTCACCGCAGTGTAGATGTTAGTAGTTCAAGAAGCATCATGCAAATAGCGACAAGCCAGAATTTGAGGAAGATGGAAGTTGAGAAATTTCAGAAAAAGCCTACTGGAATATGAGGATAGACAAAAACGTGTTGCAAAAAGCTAAGATGCTGAACAGGTTTATTTTTGTTTAAATCGTTCCTTTGTCAAATGTATGAGTCTGCAGTGGCAGTAGTATAACACT